GGAATAGTGCTACCCCAAGACCCATCTATACCACTTCTGGGCATATACTCCAAAGATGTTCCACCAATATAGCAATGCAGTTTGTTCAACTATGTTCACAGTGGCTTTATTCAGAATAGCCAAAATCTGGAAACAACCTAGATGTCCCTCAACTGAAGAACGGATAAAGAAATTATGATATGTTTACACAATAAAATACTATTCAGCTATTTAAAACAAGAAAATCATGACATTTTCATGCAAATAGATGGAACTAGAAAAGATCATCCTGAGTGAGGTAACCCAGAACCAGAAAGATACACATGGTTATCCTGTATTATATGGCTAATATCTGCTTATACTCACTCACTTATAAGTGGATATTACCCATATAATACAGGATAACCATACTAAAATCTACACACATGAAGAAGCTAAATAACAAGGACTCTAGGGAGGATGCTTAATTCTCATTCAGAAGGGCAAATAGAATAGACATCGGAAGTGGTTGAAGAAAGGAACAGGCCTACCATAGATGTCCTCTGAAAGACTCCACCGGCAGGGGATTGAAGCAGATGCTGAGATTCAGAGGCAGACTTTGGGCAGAGCACAGGGAATCTTATGAAAGAGCAGGAGGTGGGGGTTGGGGATAGAAGGATCCGGAGAGAACATATACTCCACGAGAAGACCAACAAATCTGGGCCCAAGGTTAGCTACAGACACTGATGCACCAACCAAGGACCATGCATGGAAAGGACCTAGACCCCTGCTCAGATGTAGCCAATAGGCAGCTCAGTCTTCATGTGGGTTCCATAGTTAGGGGAGCAGGGGTTAACTCTGACATGGACTCTGTTGCCTGCTCCTGAATCACTTCCTCCTGGTGGTTGGCCTTGCCAGGCCACAGAGGAAGAGGATGCAGGTAGTCCTAATGAGACTTGATAGATGTTAGGGAAGGAGGGCTCCCCCTTTCTGTGGTCTAGGAGAGGGGCATAGTGGGAAGAGGGAGGGATGGAGGGACCAGGAAGAGACAAGGGAGGGGGCTACAATCAGATATAAAGTGAATAACTTATAAAAAAATATTTTCATTAGGCTGCTGGAGTTGTGATGCACTACCGTTATCTTCTCCTGACATCCAGCTAAGGGTCTGGAAATAAGACCTGAGGAAGGATATGAATTATCAAGGGGTCATCTAAATCAGCCCAGAACCACTCCGGGGACAGCTCTGGGTTTGATTTACGGCCATGATCTTCCTACTGCTTTGTGGAGGCGTCCTCAAGCCCAGTGGCAAACAAGTAACACATCCTCACATTTCATCCTCTCCTCACTCCCCAAGATCCCCAGAGCCACCCCTAGCATCTGGAAATTCTGTGCCCCTGTCAGTGATATGTAATTTACATCCATCCCATACGGCTGGGATGTCTGAAAAACACCCCATGTACAGTAACAAACAGAAGCCCCAGACAAAGCCACGCGGACGCCCCAGACATCCAGGGACCACCTCTGCAGAAGGTGTGAGCCTTCAGGGAATCAATCCCCAGCTCCTCAAATCTGGGAGCAGAGAGGCTCCCAGCGCTGATTTCAGACAAAATCTTTCTGAATCATTTCCACAGTTCCTGGAAGAGTTCCCTCTCGCAGGGCAGCCCCGTCAGCGATGAAGTATCTATAAATCAAAAGCTGAGAGAGCAGCGGAGGGTCTGAGCCAGAGGCCTGACCAGACTCAGTGTCCCCTTGTTGCTTTCCTTTGTGATGTTGAGTAAGCTCCCCTAGTTGGACGCAAAGCTGAGAGTATAAGTGGGGTTTCACAAGAACACAGCACTGACTCTATAAAATGCAGGCAGGCTGAACAAGCATCAGCTGTCACGATGAAAATCACTATCACTGCTGCCCTGGAGGCAGGACGTTTTTTTTCTACCAGATTACAACCAGCATGATTTTAAAATCTGCAACTACCGTGGCTCAACTTCACCACATCACTTTTCTTCCTGGCCTGGCATCTCCACTGACAGATCAGGAGAGAAGTTAGATATAAGACAGAAAGCCCCAGATCTCTTCTCGTGCCTCCTGGAAGTCCCCCTGACAGCATCCACCCAGGTCCAGGAAATGGTCATTCAGGATCACAGATTTCTCACTCTGAATGATCCAGAGATAGCGGATCGTCCACAGCCTCCTACCCTAGCACTCACATGGGCTTCAGGCCATTGACATCACGTCCCCCAATGCCTATCCTACTCCTGGGTGATCAGTTGCTAGAACATATTTCTCTGCTTGGAGGTAAGAGCTCTCCACTTCAACTTCCACCCACTGTATACCACAGGACAAAATCAAAATCCACATTGGGCTTTTTTTTTTTTTTTTAATCCACATGATACCACTGTCATGAGCAACGGGGTCCTGGCTGGCACACGCTACATGGCTCCCTGCTGTAATAAGACTCTCTGTCACCTGGAGGACTTTTAAAGGCACTACATGGGTTCATGAATCCCTGCCCACTCCAGGTTCTCCGCCTTCCTTCTGTCCTTCCCTCCTCTGCCTCTCACCAGCCTATTGAAAGTGTAACTCCTGGGCCTTCCATTAAGTGCTCAGGAAACCGCTGCTCTGTTTTCCACTGGGCACATTAGTGATGCCCGGGTCAGTCTTGCATGTCTAGAGCCTCACTTCTTTCTCATCCAAGTTCTATTTTAGGGTCTAGCCACTGCTTCTCAGCAGTCATTCCTTTAAACTGCAAGAGGTCTGGGGAACGTTGCCAAGACGGGCTTCTCTCTGCCCCATGGGGTTCTACAAATGGGATTAATGGTTCTGTGCCCACTTTGTGGTTTCTTCTACAGGGGCACACACTGGAAATCCTCTTCCATTTTGCTTCTGAAATGGACTCTGTGGTCCTTGCACCGTCAGCTCAATGCCATGTTCCAGATCACCCAGAAAGGGCAGCTCTCGAAAACAGGGCGCCTCTGGGTTTTGAGGAATGCCTTAACTTTATAGTCTTTTGTTCTCTACCTGCCCCACTGTGAGCTTAGAGCACAGAGAAAATCCCGATTAGGAAAAAAAAAAAAAAAAAAAGCCATGAATTGAGCCCATTCAGACACAACCCATTCTATTAGGCAACGTTCATTCGGCTGTAGCTGGCTGGAATCCTACTGTAACCAGGTGACAAAGCAGATCTTGAAAGTTGAGCAGCTCCTGAAGCCATCCCACTGTTGCTTGTTGTCTCGTGGGACAGAACCCCACCCTTTCACTCCTTATCCTGACTAGGAGTCCATAGAGACATAACTCAGCCTGCCCTTGAGACCCTTGTTAGAAGCAAAGAGGACTTCCCCAAAAGCCCAGCAGCAGGTGCTCCTTCAGGGGTGTTGGTCCAAAACTGGGTTACCTGCTCATTCCTAAAGTATTGGCTGGGAAGAGAAGCCATGGCCATGTTCCATGGACTAAACGGTCCTCACAAACCTAGGCCAGGAATGAGGCAATGTCTTCTGAGCACAGAGGTATGAGGCATAAGCCAAAATATGCCACTGTGGCTCAGAAAAGGTGAATGACAGCTGTGGTGTGATGAGGGCTTCCCAGTCTCCTCAGAGAAAAGGTTCCCAAAGAAGGCCATAAGCCACAGAGCTACCATGGCCCGGGCCCCAGCTCCTTCCTCAGATCAACTCAGTGTGCACCACAGGGGGTGCTGGATGCCCGAGCATGTCACATTTCAGGAAGGTCAAAATAGATAAAGCTCAGCTAATACAGACGAATAATCTGAAAATAAAGTCTGTTTAGTGAAGAATATTCCAAGTCATATTCTTTGAGTACTCCCTACTCTGTGCTCTCTCTCTCTCTCTGTCTGTCTGTCTCTCTCTCTGTGTGTGTGTGTGTGTGTGTGTGTGTGTGTGTGTAACTAGAGATGGAACCCAGGGCCTCACACACAATAAAGACTATATGATACACTCCTATACCTCATCTTAAGCATCATATGTGCACAGAGGTTCTTACAGGAAGGGGTGGGGTATGCAATACAAGTTAATGATCAGACTATAATGTCTCTCATCCCACATGAGCAGACGAGAAATAGATTACAGAGAAGAGCTGACAGGAAGGCTAAAACACAACACTATTCAATTCACTAGACCAGGTGGAGAATAAGAGCCGGCAAAATCTGACAAGGGCCAGTCTCAGAGGCTGAGCACGTCAGCGGGGCTCTAGGGGGCTCTCCTGTTTTGAGAAGACCCGTGCAGTTATATTTCTTCTTCACTCTCTGCCACAGGCACCTTCGGGTTTCCTCAAGGTCAGCCGGTTAATGATTCATGCAGCCTGCACCGGGATTCCCCACATCTCATATCCTGGCTACCTCTGAGGAATACAAGAGCGTCTCCATGTGCTGTGGTCTGAGCTAAGAAGGTCGCAGATGAGGAAATCATCTCGGCCCACTTATACATGGAAGGAAAAAAAGCCTGGAACTCATTTCAGAAGTTCTTCCCGCTGGTGATTTAAAAACATATTCATTCTGTCTCTGTCTCTACCATTTCTCCCCCACCCCAGATTTGCATGTGCCCAGTCTCCTCTAGGACCCCAGCAGGTGTGAGGTGTGGGTGTGACTTTCTTGGCACAGCCTGATAAGGAAGGGCTTGGATGCTAGCTCTCCTGTTCCCTCCTCCCAGCCAGAAACAGTTAATTGCCAGCTCTAGGCTGCCTCCTGCCCAACCCTAATCGGCATGATCTCAGGCGGCTGCACCAAGGCTGAAGCTGCTCCAGGCTAGGCCAGGGCTATGTGGAGCAACCAGAGCATTCTTCCAAGATAATGATTAAGCTGAGCAGCACTTGGCAAGGGCATAGGCTGCTAAGCCGGGGAGGTGAGCCCTGTTCACACCTCAACCAGGCTGTGGAAGCCAGAACTAGATAGATCAGGAAGGCAGAGACCAGAGAGGCCCAGCGGCTCCCAGCCAGCCCCTGCAGCCTCCTGCTTGTCAGAGGCACCCAGAGCATCTCAGATCCAGAGGAATCTTCACAGCCTGCCCTTCTGGGACCCTGCTCACACCTCTGGCACCATGAAGCTCCAGGTGTTCTGGACTGTGCTGGAATATACCTGCCGGCTCCTGGGCATCACCACAGCTGCAGGTAAGATCCTGCCTCTCATCTACCAGCTCCTTGCTCAGAGGCAAAACAGGAGAAACGTTTTCTAGCCAGGAGAGGGTGGCACATCTAGCCACATCTGCCCTTCGGCTTCTCTTTCGAGACCTCAGGGAAACCCTGGACTTCAGGAGAGCAGCAGGTGCAAAGACAGCTTTAGGCAGGTTTAGAAGAGCGAGCCTTGGTGTTGAGACCCAGTGGCAGCCCACTCTCGTGAGACCTTGGGAGCCTTCATCATCCCCATCAATGAGCTAACATGTCTGCCCCCTGCCCTCAAAGGGCCATGAGGACAGCAGGTTGGAGTGGGGACTGGCGGTGAAGGTATAAATGCCTGGGAAAATGTGAGAATTCTTACCGAGGTGTAGCTATAAAAATGGTCAGTTAAGTTTACCTTGCTTTGTTCAGCAATAGTCCTGTCTTGTGAGGAGAGAATCCCGTTGACAGGGCAGCTCTGCACTCAGGAGATGCGCTGGGTATGACGATGGCAAGCTTCCATAGACCCTCCCCATACCCTGCAGACAAAACGCACTGTTGAAAACCAGCCCCTTTGCTATGAGCCATTTACAGGAGCGTGGTATGGGCTTAGAGGACTGGAAATCACCTGGGCTGCTCAGCTGACTTGGATTTCAGATGGTTGGCAAAGAAATGACTTCTGACCCTAACCTCATCCTTAGCCCCACCAATCCAGAGGGCCAGAATCTATGCTGAGGAACTGAATGGCGGTGATCTGAGCCATTAGCTCTGTGCACCAAGGCTCTTGGAAAAAAAGAAAGAAAAAATTACACATTAAATCCTTTTTGGCATCCAGATAAAAGCTTTTTCAAGAGTCTCTGCCAGTTGAAAGGCTTCTCCAGTTCAAACCAAAGCAATGCGAGCCGAGCCTCGGGTCTCTAGTGTACGTACAACCTTGGTCCAGCCCTGTGGACCTTTGAAGGTGTGCTTCCCCACCTCTGTGATGGATGGATGTGCAGCTGCAGCTCTGAGCAAGACAACATGTGAACTGAGGTTCTCAGTGGATGCCCTTGTGATATACTCCAGGACCAGTAGGGATCCACATCATTCCTGGGGTGCTCGGTTGGGCTCGTGGTCAACTGGCTAATGGGCTCTTCTGGTAGTAGGGCTATGAGTCAGAATAGGCAAGGTCAAATTCCAGCCCTCCTGCTACGAGATGGAGCAAGTGAATTCAGATTGGAGCCATAACCTTGCCAAGGTCACACAGAAGGTTGGAGTAGGAGGACCCTGGAATTTCCCAATAGCACTGGACAAAGCCTTCCCTGCATCCCAAGTAAAAGAATTGGTCTAGCTCAGACCCGTTTAGATAGGCTGGTTGAAGGGCCGGCCCAAGGCCTCTTACAAGTAGGCAATGATCACAAGGCCCGCAAGGCAACCTTAAATGTATCTCCACCATGAGAGTGTGAGCTACTGCTGCTCCAAGTCTACTGTGCTCCCTGGACAGAGCGAGTTTCATACATTGTTCCCTTCGGGCTACCAGGAATCTCACATCTAAAATACAGCCATTCTCCGCAGTCACTGCTTCCCTCCAGCCAGGAAGCTGCCTAAGGTGCACACAACTACCCTTCTAATGGATTTAGTGAGTCTAGATGGTTTCAACCTAAGGATGGCCTTTCACGCCACACACCCCCAGCACATGCGCACACCAAAGCATATTCTACACTTTTTTAATTAAATTTTTATTTTTTATATTAACTACAGTTTATTCACTTTGTATCCCAGCTGTAGCTCCCTACCTCATTCCTCCCAATCCCCCCCTCCTTCCCTCTTCTCCTCCCATGCCCCTCCCCAAATCTGCTGATAGGGGAGGTCCTCCTCCCCTTCCATCTGACCCTAGCTTATCAGGTCTCATCAGGACTGGCTTGCATTGTCTTCCTTTGTGGCCTGGTAAGGCTGCTCCCTCTTCAGGGGGAGGTGATCAAAGAGCCAGCCACTGAGTTCATGCCAGAATTAGACCCTGTTCCTCTTACTAGGGAACACTCTTGAACACTGAGCCGCCATGGGCTACATCTGTGCAAGGGTTCTAGGTTATATCCTTGAATGGTCCTTGGTTGGAGTATCAGTCTCAGAAATGACTCCTGTGCCCAGATTTTTTGGTTCTGTTTCTCTCCTTGTGGAGCCCCTGTCCTCTCCAGGTTTTATTATCTTCCCCTTTTTCATAAGATTCCCTGCACTCTGCCCAAAATTTGGTTATAAGTCTCAATCTTCACTCAGAAGGACAAACAGGATGAACATTGAAAGAAGGAGAAAACAGAAACAGGACAGGAGCCTACCATAAAGGGCCTCTGAAAGACTCTACCCAGCAGTGTATCAATGCAGATGCTGAGACTCATATTGTACATCTTAACCACAACCTCCATCTCTGCTAAGAAGCTGCTGTTAATTCTAAAGATGGACCTCCTGCCTTTCTTTGATATAAGATCCAGGCTAAAAATAGACCATCGTTGCCTTCTAAAGGCCGAGCTTTCAGTGAATATCCCTTGGGCTCTCCAGAGCACTGGGGCAAGTGGGAAGCTAAAAGGGGCTCTGATGCTCTCTGGCAGGTTTCAGGTTTCTCTTGACATCACTGGCCTTCAAGGCCTCTGTCCAGTACATGAGATTTGCAAATTCTTTATTCCCTTAAGCCGCTTTTGTTGAAATCCTCTGTTGAAAAGTCCAGGGAAATGAGACTTGAGATAGAGCCTGGCACTTTGCAGAAACCCAGGGGAGGGGGGCAGATGAGGCGCCCCTGTACATAAACAGCATAGAGGGTCCAGAGGCTGGGCAGGGATGTGAACAAGCACTTCCAGAGTGTCACCTCAAGGGACTGTATGGCTCCCAGGAGGTGACAGTCTCTGCCCCAGCAGTGTTCTTTGTGGACACTAGCTACACGGCCTCTTCCCACCTAACTCCATTCATGAAGCATCATGGGCTTTGCTGCCCTACACAGAACTCAAGCCCTGGATGCTAAGTCAGTGGATCTCAACCTGTGGGTCGTGACCCACTTAGGGGCCCAACGACCTTTTCACCTAAGACCACCTAAGACCATCAGAAACATTTACAATTCCAGTGACAAATTTTACAGATATGAGGTTACAACAAAAATACCTTTATGGCTGGGGAGGGGGTCACCACAACATGAGGTATATTAAAGGCTCACAGCATTAAAAAGGTTGCGAACCACTGCTCTAAGCGGTTTTTGGGACAGATGCTCCCGCCAACCCAGAATAAACAAGCCACAGAGGACAGACAGCACCAAGCCAGGGTATGTTCAAAATGAAAAAAAATCCTGTCCCTGGGAACAGCCAGGTGGTTCCTTGGACATTACGCACACAGCCCGATCTAACTTGATCTTACAAAGTGCTTCTCTGGTGTTCAAAGTCATGGGGCCGTGAGGGTTGTGTGTGCAGCCTGTGAACATGAGTGTGACCTCTAGGTCATTCTGTTGCCAAGCTGCAGTACTGCAAGACCCTGTCCACAAAGCAGACATACCAAGAGTCTGCATAGACTGTGGGACCCTGCCCACCCTTTGAGGTGTGAGAACATCTGGGTATCCATCACTGAAAACATTCACCAAGACATGGCAAACACATCCTCTGTGAGAACCTGAGACTCGGTGTTGGTTGGTTGGGTTTTCTGCTTTAAGGCAGGCTCTCTATTTAGCCCAGGCTAGCCTCAAATTTGCTACCTACCTTAGTCTCTGGGATTATAGATACGGGCCATCTCATCCAACTTGTGATTTTTTTTTTTAATATAGACTGGGCATCAGACAGGACCTGGTAAATGAGTGCCTACTGGGCAGGACTCAGAAGTACATGGCACCTTTTTGCCTCATGAGAAATGGCCTGATAAGATTAGTTCTCAGCATTTGGTTGAAAAGGCAGACTTATTCTCCTTTGAACTTCACTGCACTTCCCTCACAGAATCTCCAGTAACCTCCCACCTCTTCTCAGCCCTTCCCCAGACCAGAAAAGGAGAAGAGCTCCAAGTCAATGCACAGATGCCTGGCCCACTCCCCAAGGTGTGGAAGGAGGAGAATCCTGTCTTTGGACCTTTATCTGGAAAGGAAGTCCTCCTCCTGCTGGCCCTACACAAAGAGAAGCATGGGTTATCCTAAGAGTGATCTGTCCCCCAGGGGGGAAAATATGTCATCAGTACTTGCTAAGGTCTCCCAAACTACCTCAGAACAAAATGTTTATGCTAGAAATTTCTCTGCACACAGCCCCACCCTGGGCCCCATCCCTGACCCAGACAGACAGACAGACAGACAGACACACACACACACACACACACACACACGGTGCACTTGCTCTTATCTCTATTTGATTTATCTAGCCTCTTTTTAATAGTAGTTGGCAAATAGCATCATTGTTGGAGTTTTCACCATGACCCAAGCCCTGTGCTACTTGTCTTCAAAACCTCATTCCATCCTTTGTGCTATCCATTAAGGCCTCACTAGGCCCATCACTGTACCCATTGTCCAGGAAGGGAAACTAAGGAGAATGTGGTGAGTTGAGGCACTCTCCTCAAGGTATCCTGCCAAGGAAGCAGGGAGGCAGAGCCCAACTGATAGGGATCTAGTCTTGAAACCCCCACTTTTATTCATCATCCTCTGCCTGAATCGAGGTTAAAGTGTTCTAGGGAAAATGGAACGGGAAAGGCCAGACGCTGGATGGAGAATCAGAAGAACCTACTCATACCAGCACACTCAGGGGAATAACCTCCCAAAGCCAAGCTCTTGACTTTTCTCTTCCTTGGTAGATTTAAGTATTATAAGAAGCTGCGATTCAAGATAAGTCACCATGGTTTTATAACCAATATTCGTCTTCTATCTCAAAGGGGCAGCTTTCTCTGCATTTTAATGACTCTAAGATGTTGGATTAAAAAAAAAAAAAAAAACCAATAGAGAGGCCCAGTCAGAGCCACTCCATAGTCTGCTCTCATGACTCTACCCTGGGTCAGTCCTGACCATCCACAGCCCCAGGCAGGGTGTGGGG